CAGTCATTTTCTGCGCTAGCTGCATAAGGTCAGTATTTTGGTGGTTAGACGGTGGTGGGAACGCTTATCGATAGCAGACGAGACATAGCTCCAAAGGCACCGAGTGCGACTATTGCTTCGGCAACAGTCGAGAAGAACGGTTTCAAGACCCTCTAACCGGTCTTTATTTTGATCCAAATGCAAGTAAGAACCAGTGTGTCTCCATTACTTGAGAGTCCATGTACGAGAAATGGAAGAACCATGTCACGTACGTGTAGCATTACGTATCGTTGCAGCAATTTTATTGCTATCGTTGTCATCTGGTTGGCTGATTTTTTTGAAAAAGTGAAAAATTTAGCTTTGGAGTTTTGTGTTCGATTCAGAAGCGCTGCAAACGTCCGCTTTTGATTTTTTTTTTGGGCAGGAAATATTGCAGCAAATGATAAGGATAGCGGTGAATGGACAAACATTTCCAGACGTAAAATTGAAGACAGCTTAGTATTTCATCGTGGTTTTGCTTGAGAAAAGTTCAGAAATTTGTATTACTGTCTCTGTCAGGTCACCGGAGGTCACACAGCAAATGACAAATATTCCTTTGCTGGTTCTTCGTGTGGAGAAAAAGTTTGATGAATGTGGTATCAGTTTGCTGACAGCAACTGAGCAGAAAGTACAATGTTGACATATGATATTGCAGTGGAGTGCAGCGCAGTGGAGTGCAGCGGCCAACCGAACCCACTGAGTCGATCAAGCTCGATCAGGTCTTGATCGAATTAAGCTGATTGATTTTGCTACTGCTCTTACGATACTTCCATTATCCATCCAAAAGCTTGTATAATTAACTATATCTGCCACTAGCACTTCTTTCGGTCTTCCTTTCTTCTTCCTAACTGTTGCAGAGACAGAACGTCATTTCACTGGTTAAAATATTTTTAATCGATTTGTTCATCCATTCAGCTCATCGGCCTCTTCCTCCTCTTCGTTCACTTTCAGTAGAGATGAGGTCAGGTTATGTTTATGTTACAACCTCATTGTAATGCGGTTTCTTTGCCCTTTATCCCTTCCTTTATCTTTGTTTATTTCCATAGCTACTTATATTAATCCATCTGTTTGTTTGTTTGTTTGTGTAGTTGTGTCAACTTTTCGCCAGCTGGCCAGTTAAATCGGATGTCAACTATCCGATGGCTGAGCAGTCTGTCGGGTCAGTTCACCGATACATTGTCATTTAGCGCACTGATTTCATATTTCAGTTTTTATTTCTACATCGACGTATGGGGTGGTGGTGACTCAAATCTTTTTTCTTCATTATCTCCCATTCCACCAGGATTTCGCAAAAATTCTCGAATCAGCACCTACAATCGACTTCTTTCACAGCCTCTTAAATGCTTTCATACTGTGCAAACTGATAGTCCTTCGCGTAAGGCCCCGTCCTTCCTTTTTTGGTTGTTGAAGAAATCAGAGTTGAAATTTTTTTCGGAAAATGAAGTGACAACTGCAACTTCGCAAGTACTACCCTTATTTGGAGTAAAAAATCGTTTTCTGAACATTGCCCCATAAACATTCATTGTATGCGTTAAATGATTTCCTGAATAACTGGTGTTGTCACAATATTCCTCCATTTCCAATTAGATATTGTAGTAGCATCATCATTTCATCTGAAAAAATCTTCCAACTTTGGAACTTATTACAACTACAAATAGCATTAATTACTTGTATCTCTGACCGCATTGAACAATTCAATAAAATTGAAGCTTTCCTTTCCATTGAGCGTTTCACAAAAAAGGAAGGAAGTCGTTGAGTTTCTCTCAAACTGTCTATCGGTTGATCGATGATAAAGAATCAACCAGAATGCTATTCTCACTTATCTCTTCACTCCGATGTCAACCGCTACTGTGCACTTTGGCTGGGGAGAGGTCAGGTTGAGAAGCTTAAGCTTTTAGTGCGCTCTGAGATGCAGTGTTTAACAGTAAGCGGGAGGAAGTGGTGGAAGTAAACAGTGAGTGGGAAATTGGAAGTGAAGACGAGAATGTGTGCCATCAGGACTTTTTATTCCGAGAAGAATGCCACAGTGAGTGCAACGTAGGGATGTTGTGATCGTATGATAACTGTAATATGGGATGTATTAACTGAATGAATGTAATCTAAGTAATGTCCATCAAAATATAAGTTAGTATAAATTATACGTGTCCAAATAAAATGATTTGTCCGAATATGAATTTTTAATCCTGATATGATTGGAGGCCCAGAGGGAGCTTTCTTAGAGATTCAAGCAGGGTGTCAATCCTTTCGGAGTTCTTTCTTTGTATCTGAAATTACATTGCATCGATATTGCGATTCTGAATAATTCTGACGATTCTTCTGGGAGAATAAAAAAGACCAACCTACGGTCGGGACTTTTTCTTTCTCGAATCCAATCCCTCATAGAGGATCTGTATGCGACACACACACAATCCTCCGAAATATAGCATCTCCTTCCGCTGATTGTTTCATTCTTTCCGTAGCTGCACGCACGCATGCATTCTTTTGGTTACTGCTAGCTGAGTAATCGTCTTTTACAGCCTTCGTTTTTTTCCTTTTCAAGAACGGGCCATTTCGATGCGGGAAGACTACGGAAAAACTGCATGGATGAACGGATAAAGTGTGCCAGTCACTGGAGTGAATATGTTATTGACCAGGTGGAAGTTAAAAGAATTTCAAGTGGCTGAGTGTGGCGACCCGTTCTGTCTACAAGTATGAATTTCGTGCCTTTGACCAGTTTCAGTGCGTAGCTTGGAATAGCGACAATCGATAAAAGTGGTTTGCAGAAAAATCGGTAAGCACATTTAAATTGTAGGGGTGAAGTGTTTTCGTTTTCACTTCTGCGAAATCATTTCGGACAGGAAAGAGAGCGCTGATTCGGATCCTGGAAGACAGGGCGACGGAAAGAGCAGTAGTCGTTGACTTCCTACAGGATTATATATGTGCTCCACTGGCGCAACACTTTGGTATACCCAATTCCCCACTTGTGCTTCTCCAACTTCCTGGGAGCAAATTTTATGGGAAATGCGCTCTGAGGTTTATGTCCCCGCATTTCATAACACTGAGGAGTACTTTTAAAATGTAAAACATTTGAGATGTAAGGGAAGAGAGTTCTCTCCGCGAAGGAAGGGTGCATGTATCTTTCTAGTTTTTCTCTCTAATTGTCGTTTATATTTAACTTGCTTCCATCCGTTGCAGAGTGAACCTGCCTTACACTCTTTACGAGTATTAGCACGTGCATGTATAGTATCACATTGCGATACTTGATTAGACAATTTGACACCACCTTTTTACTACCTCATGACGATCTCTTAACGTCAGTGTTGCTTCTCTCAGTACTGCCCATTCCTGTTTGATCATATGTTCAGTGTGATCTGTTTCTGTGTGTCAACAGAGACATTTGCAAAATGTTGTCCTTCGTGCTTTTCGCCTCCGCCGATAACTCCCTCGAATATTTGATTCCACGCACTTCACTTCACTTCACTTCACTCCTGCACTATTTAATCTTTAATAACTAACCACATACGAAGTAATATTAAAAATAAGTTAAATAGATTCAGTAAAAACAAATTTTTACCTTTATTAGCGTACCACACGCAATTCATGCAGTTTGAGTGATATTACAAGTAACATTTCGCTCTTTTCGATGATCAAATTCCGCTTGTTAGTTCTTTTCATAGTATTGTTCTTTGTGTAATATGTCACGTCAATTTTAATTGCAAAGTACGCCTTGCTGAAGTGTGAGTTTTTTAATTTGGAGAATTTATAATTGTTAGTTATTTCTTTTTATGCATCACCTCGCTCCAAATATGTGCTGTTTGTTATGTTACGATGTATGAGTGGAACATGCAAGTCAATTGTGAGAATAGGCCATACTTTTTAAAATGCTCTACAAAATGTCACGTAATGCAGATACCAGTTCAGATTATTAGGCAATATATGAAACATGCAGGAAATCATCAGCAGGGCTGACAGTTCTTGTGATGTTGTTTTAAGTCGTCCGTTGAGTGAACACTGTTCGTAAAATTACTCGTACGGGTCACCCGGCTTAAAGATTCCTCTTCGAGCTGCTTTTATTCGATATTTAATCACAGCATCTAAGCAGTACTAAAGAATTTACACGCAACTTTTGTGGTGTACGTGCTTACCCGCCCAGAAATGCCCATCATGTTGTTCATCTTGTCCTCTCGGTTATTTTTCGGTTTCATCATGAAGAGAAAATTTCATGAAAATACACAGTGCATACAGGAAGGCAAGAGGACAAGTTTATCGGATAAGCAGGAACCCGGGAATTTCTGCTCTCCAACTGCAGCGTTTTCCCGATGTTTCGTGTCGTGTCGTTGGTTCCTAAATAAGCAGATTTTCAGGTTTCAATGGAAGAGCGAACATTAACGATAAATTGATTTCCATCTTTCTTCCTTCTGCTCAACTCATCACGTTCCTTAAATGATAATTGAACAGAACGGTTATTCCACCAAGTGATGATGTTCCCGTAATTGAGAAATCTTTCCTTTACATGTTGAAGGAAGACATCACTGACGAATATAACTTTCTGGTATTTTTTCATTATATCGCTCAAAGAAATAAAGTGGACATTGGTGATATAAGTGAGGAACGTGGACAATAGACGTGCCTCACGTCTGCTTACAGTACTGAGTGTGTAATTGCAAAAAAATATTGAATACTGATTCTGGCTAGCAATAATTACGCTGTCGCAGCACGGTTGATAAGTTCATTACCAAGATTGTAATAAGGTAGCTATGAGAGATGCGCATCACGGCCAAGTTAGTAGCAGCAACGCGAGCTCAGGTTTTGATACTTCAGCCTTTCGTTTCAATGAAGAACCATTTGAGCAATATTACGAAATTGCGGAAGAACTTGGGAAGTGAGTACTTTTCTTTGCTACTACTTCGTACATTAAAGTGACTTACCGTATTTTCTTTCTGTTACGAATAATTTACATCGGGTGGTGGCGTAACTTTAACTGTTTATCTCTAACTATTTCTACTTACGGATGGAAAATGTCTGACAAAGACTAGTGTTACAAGTAGTGTCACTAAAAACGATTTTATTTCACGAGTTAGGAAATCAACGTGTTGTCATTTACAACTAAACAACTTTTTGTGAATCTTTTTGCTAAAAATTGGATTTACTTATTTTGCTCTTTGGTCATTTTCTTCTTTACCGTATTTTCATGCGTGATTTTCAGCGGACAATTTGCTGTTGTTCGACGAGTAATTCATCGATCATCATGTGAGCAGTTCGCAGCAAAATTTATTAAAAAACGACGTTACGCGACTTCTCGTCGTGGCGTCACACGCTGTAATATCGAACGAGAAATTGACGTATTGCGAGCTGTCGGTGGATATGAATATACGATCAAACTGTTCGAAGTGTATGAAACTGCTTCGGATGTTATCCTGGTCCTGGAACTGTAAGTCTTTCTTTGGTTGATATCACTTGTGAAATTAGGCTGGCGGCATTTCAACGTGATTTGTGATACAGTGTGCTAGAAAAGAAATACTCATTTCTACCGAAAATGTTATTCTTTTTCTAAAAAAAATTCGCACATTTGAGTTTGAAATTCAGATTCTCCTGTACATAATTATTTGATCATTCATCTGTAATGTTAACTTGGCTAACTTCATATTAAATACTACTTTTATCTTTTTTATCCACCCGCCATTTCTTCTCCGTTGTTTCATCTTTGTTTTTCCTCATTCTTTGTTGAACCCAGAAGATGAGTAGGGAAGAAAATTGATAGATTGTAGAGTGATCACTTAGAAGCTCTTCGGTGAATATCCGAACCTGATCACCGATGACAAAATTATGACAATTAAACGTTGCCATGATCTCACGATTGGTACGATTCAAAAATATGTTATATTTTGACGTAAAAAAGGTTTTTAGAGGATAGAGTAGATGAGGAAATTGATGTTCTCAGTTCCAGAAGATGAGTAGGGAGGAAAATAGGAAATCATGATGTTATGGAGTTTTTTAAGAGTTTCGGGTGGCGAGTTGTTCGACTATGTCTCAGCCAAAGAGTGCCTTGGTGAAGCTGAGGCGGCAGCTTTCATTCAACAAATTTTGTTCGCTATTAAACATCTGCACGACAACCACATCGTTCATCTGGATATCAAGGTAGATTTATTTGGCTCTTCTCCCGCTCCATCTAAATCTTCCCAAATCCATTCTTTAAGAATTGTGGGAATTTAAGATTTTACTAGATATTGTTCTTATCTTGACCTGTTGTTTAACACATCATACCATGCGGCCAAGTACCTGTTGTTTAACACATCATATCATGCCGGCCAAGTAGCTTCAATTTCATTCTTTATGAAGTAAATCTATTCTCTTTTAAGCCAGTATTTTTTCCACTACTATGTGTTTGTTTATTTGGAGAATTAAACTTTAATTACAGCCGGAGAATGTAATGCTCAGGAAAAGAGGCGAGTCAAGGATTAAACTTATTGATTTCGGTCTGTCAAGAAGAATTTTGCCGGGAACCGTTGTTAAGGATATGATAGGTACACCTGAATTTGTGGGTAAGTTTCATTCTCTCTTTGTCTATATTTTCAACGATCTTGTATTATTTTCAAAAATTAAGATTGGGGTACAACAACAGGTACTATACCAAAGCTTGGAGCACACTTCATATTTTATAACACCGATATATGTTGTATACTTCAGGATGTTTTGCAAAAACTTTTGCAAAAAAATTAAGGTTTCTATTTCAAAATGACATACTTTTCTTCTTGCTGTTTTACATGGTTGATTCAATTTTTTCAGCTCCCGAAGTAGTCAATTATGAGCCTTTATCTTCCGCTACCGATATGTGGGCGTTAGGCGTTGTCACGTACATATTGTTAGTTTGTTACGTCAACAAGAAAATATTTATCTCATTGTTTGTTTAAATCTTGTTCAGAGTTAAAGATCCATAACAGATTTAGCAACGCTGCAGTTTTATGGACCGAGCGTTGCTGAATTTGTTATGGATCTTTAAAACTTGCTATGATTCGCTGTCATTTATTATGTTTGAACAATACATTCGTCCCACTTCTCCAGTGCTAACAGTCTTATAAATTTTATTTCAGGTTAAGTGGTGGTTCGCCCTTTCTCGGTGAAACACGCGATGAAACATTTGTAAATATATCCGCCGTAAATTATCACTTCAGCGAACGTTATTTTGAACATATTTCACCGTACGCAAAAGATTTTATTAGTCACCTTTTTGTTCGGGATCAGCGTAAGCGAGCTACGGTTGACGAGTGCCTGAGGCATCCGTGGATTCGAGGAGTACGTTTTTATCATTCTTTAAAGATCTTTCTAATTTTGCCAAGAAAGATTTTGCATCATTTATTTTCGAAATGTACACAAAAATTTCTAAAAAAAATTTTTTGAATTAGTGGAAAAACTCGTTTGCTGATTTAGAATAAGATAATATCAAGCTTTGTTTTATTTTATTTTCGAGAGCTTTCGTTTGCTAGGAATTGCATATCTTTTTCATTTTGATCGAGCTAAGAACATGAAGGAAGTTTTCGTTAGTTTAGGTTGAATTTTGTCGCTGTTTGAGAAATTGTTTGATTAGTATTAATTCGTTTGCTCAGAAATTTTGTTTTTTACTGAACAATAAATACGCATCCTTAAAAGTATGCAGCGATATCTTCTGAGTTCAATTTCTCTTGAATTTAGGATATACTCATTTTTTATCTTTTTGCGTCCTGACTAACTTCACTAATAAAAGCATCAGAGATTAAGATGAAATAAATAATGGAAGTTGAGAAAATGAAAAAGAAAGCTTCCGAAATTCTATAGAACTACATTGTATTTTGTCACTAAAAGCCTTCTTTTAAACTTTTCTCGGTCGTGTGAGGCTAAAATTGAATTAAAGCAAAAGTGAAAAGAAAATTAAAGTTGGAATTAAGTTGACTTTACAAAGAGTAAACTTCATTCATCATCCCCTCGAAACGCGGAATGTCAAATTTTACACAGTACAAATAATCAAAACGTATACATAGCCATTGTTCTGTGTTGATAAAAGAGACTATTATTATTTACTGTAAAATAAGGGGTAACACTAACTGTTTGTTAAAGCTGCACTCTTTCCGCCCAGTGATCTAATCACATTTTCTTGCAGCCTGATGGACTGGCTAATGATGTTCGCCAACACTCGATGATTTCTATGGCGCAGATACGCTCTTTCAAAATACGCTTAAGATGGAGGGTATTTATTCAAATTTAGATTTAGATATTCAACTTTGGTAAAATGATATAGTCCAATCATTGCCCTTCTTGATGGCTTCTTCATTTTGTGTGACCATGTCTATTCTGGTTTTTCATGAACTTTACTCACATACGACACTGAATAGTATCATCCATATAAAGATCTTCCTTGCCTAAGATTGTTGAGTCCTATTTTCTTGGGAGAACTGATCTTTGGAACTTGCAGCGCAACATACCGAATTACGAAGTAATGTTGACTTATTCTCATTTTCTCTAAAACGAAATTAGAAATTTGAATAAACGGGAATATGATAGAAAGTATAAGGAATAACTTGGATTATTTGATTCTCTACATTCGGACATTCGATAAAACAGAAGTGAGATTAAGAAAAAGCCAGAAAAGAATTTTAGTTTTCCGTTTCTCTATCACGCTGTGTTACGTTATCATCTGAAAAACATGTTTTGCCCTGTGATTTCGAAGTTAAGATTTCCTGAACTCTTCTTTTATTTAATAAGTTTTTCAGGTAGTTCTCATTGGCTGAATTTTGTTTGTTTTTACTTATAATTGAACCTTTCAGTTTCAAGTTTCGTTTATAATTTCTTCCTGAAGCAACTTTAATTTCTGGATTTTTTGGCAAAGATTAGTATGATTATGGAAAATGAAACTTTACCTTTTCCTCTTGGCAGTCTCTTCCTCGATCAGGGATAGCCAATCACCATTCTCACATGTATTTTTTACTAGCTACCGAAATGTGCAAAAATTGCTCAAGTTTTGTGAATTTGAAGCTTTCATACTTTTATCTTAAGTTTATACCTGTGGTACTTTTGGTCAGATTCCTTCGCTTAAATCGCTTGATCATTGCTTCTGTCCTAATTTTTTGGTTTGAATTAGAATAGTATAAAAGAGATGTGTTTCAGAGAGCTGTGGATATTGTAATAGCTTGTAATAAAATGACCGCAGACGCACGATCCGCTATGAAAAAAGCTTTGGAAGCTGGCCATTCGGTCAGTTCACGATTTGACCCCGTAAGTTTCTCTTTTCTTCAATGTGACATTTGCCTTGAATTTTTTCCATTTGCGTGGTGTTCAATTTAATCTAGATAATTTCTATAGGGACTGTTTGGTAACTAGGCACTATGTGCTTTACTCTTAATAACAGCTGTGGTGGTTGACAGTACATAAAGATAGTATGCGGAATTGACTATCCTCTGTTGGTCAACCCTACAAATTATTTTCATTTTTCATGTATTTTCAGTTATAGCTTAATTAGAAGAAAAAAGAACTCATTTGGGGAATATACATAGTTGGGCTTAACATACTGAAACATACTGAAAAATATTGAATTAAGGGGAAGAACGGTTTCGAATTAGCCTGACGGACTGAAACACCTGAAGTAATGGAGCACGCTGCTCAAAAAGGTGTATCGGTCATTTGAAATTTGTAATTTACTATTTCAGTTAGCAATCATCTCGATTTTCTCAAACTTTGTAGCCTCATTATTTGTTCGTTCCACACTTGTGTGATTCCGTTGCCATCATGTGCATATACTTCTAAATAATATAATTTACTTTTTGATTACTTTTGACAAGCAAACATATAAAACAGGAAGAACTAATTGTCTCAGCAATGCTGATTGCATGCGAAGAAGGTAATTTGGCAGGACTTGATCAGTTGGCTGTACTGCATCGGATCAATTTGAATATTGCCAATCGAGTAAGATTTATAAACATAAAGTTGAAATCATATTATCATCTGTATCCACTTACTGTCGTAGTGAATGTGTCAGCAAGATTTACAGGATTCTGGTTCACGCTAAACATTAACTTTTACAAGTTAAATTTTTTTCTTTGGAATGCCATAGTTTTGCATTTCGGTTTTTCCTACAACAATAACTTTTTTCTCTGTTCATATTACCGAAGTTTAATATAGGTCAACTAAGATCGGTACGTTTGTTCTTGTTGGAAGTGCTTCAGATGGGTGAAACAGCGATGCATGTGGCTGCAGGTGCAGGACAGTTTGATATCGTGCATTATTTGCATATGAAGGGTGCTGCACTGGATGCGTCTGATCGACGGGGTGACACACCGCTATTTTGGGCTGCACGGAACGGCCATACGAATATCCTAAGCTATATCACCAGAGAGGAAAATGTGAACATTAATACTGTTAATAAGGTTTGATTTGTTCTTCAGTCACATGGCTTTATATTTACATTTTACGAATAGCAACTGTTCTCGTCTGATCATCTTGACATTATAGTATTTGTCTGATCATCTTGACATTATAGTATCTGCTGTCTGAATTTTCAATGATGATTTGTTGAGCTAGAAAAAATTGTTTGATTTTTTAGACTATTTTACACGTGTCGCGCTACCCTTTGACACTCTTCAGGTAATGAATAGCTGTTCAGATGACTGCTATTAAAAGTTTTCCTCAAAACTATTTTCAAACGAAAACGGCCACTTTAAATTTAAGTTAAAATAAGTTGATCTGAGTGGTGAATATTACAGAATAGAGAAAGTGCTCTTCATGTGGCCACTCGTTATGCACAGGTTGAATCGGCACTGCTGTTAGTAAAAGATGGAGCTGACTCATCGCTGCAGGACGAGGTATGACCAAATGACCCCTCCAAGTACTTTTTTACAGAAAAAGAAGACAGTTATGTCTTGCTTCACTTTTCTTGACATTGCAGCACAACGAGACAGCACTGCACATTGCAAGTTGGCATGGTTATACAGCACTTCTCGGAGTATTGTGCAGGTTCAATCCACCTCTTCATCTCAAAAATCAGGTCCGTTTCGGATAACAATCATAAAATAAATAATTTTTCCACAAGTTCTCATTAAGCCAATGAATAATTAGAATTACAGGAATTTTGATGAGAATTGGATTTCATCAATTCTTATTGAGATTTTGACTGGCGAAGATAGCTCTCATCACTGTTCTTGTAGATGCAGAGAGAGAAAGAAATGTGTAGGATCTCTCAAAAGACATTCCACTCACTCACATAGCAATCATCCTTTTCCTCCTGAAAATTGATAAGTTGGTCCGAATAAGTTCTTATAATTCTGATGTTGAATCCATGACTGGCTGCCAGTATAGTTTTTATTTAACTGTTACCTTTTCGTGCATCTTATATTACCCACCAAATTCGGG